ACTCTGCGGGTCCCAACGTTTCTGGGGAGTGCGGCTGAGGTCTCGCCTGGGCGCTGGCCCAAGGCTCAGTGGCCACAGCTCAGGGCTCTCATCACCAGAGGCCTGAGTTGGGCAGGTTCTGTCCAGGCAGACAGCAGCTGAATGGGCCGTGTGCAATTCAGAGGGAATGGAGGTCCCCACGCCCTGGAGCTGCCTCCCTGCCAGGAAGAGCCTTCAGTTTCAGGTATGGTGCACCACCCCTTCCTTTCCCAGGGACAGCCTGGCCACCAGCCTGGGCAGTGATGCTGGGGACACACTGCTGACGGAGCCTCAGTTGACTGTGAGCCCAGCACACAGCTTGGGCCAACACCGCCTCTGACAAGAAAGTTCCAGACTCCCCCTCCCTGGACAGCTCATTAGAGAATGTCACCTCCACCTGCAGTGCTTTGGCTCTTGCGTGGTGCCTATGAAACCACCTCACAGACATAAGGCAGTGGCGGAGAATATGCCAAGAACTTGGGACCTGAGGCGCTTGCTTTGTAGGTGGTCGACTCCAGTTCCACCCCAACATCTTCCATCCCACCCACCCCACCCCAACACCACCAGGACTGCCTGAGCACCGCCGGGTATGGGAGAAAAAACAAACCAAAAAGCCAGAGGTGTAAGGATATCAAGTCAGCAGCTGGCCTGGCTGGGGCTTTTTTTCGTGCTTCCCCGCTACTGGAGGCCAAGCCGAGCTTCTGGATCGGAAAGAGTCGGCGGGTCTGGGGGTGTCTCTCAGCAGAGACAGCTGCTCCATCTCCAAGCTCCCGAGCTGGTGCCATAAAAGCAGACACTGCCCCGCTGACCGGCCACCTGCCCGCTGCTGACCATCCTATCACTCTCACGGTCCCGCTGGGACCAGCCACTCATCCCGGGCTTTCCCTTCACTGCCCAACCTTAGTTCAGCGGGGCTCGGCCTCTCCCTTTGGGGCGCCAACCCTTCGCATGAGACGCCCACGGCCAAGCGCCTCAGAAGAGCCTTGGCGTCACCGGGTCAGCCTGAGCCCCGGCAAGCTGCTTTCTGGGAGGGACACGCAGAGGCCCCACGGCCTCTCCTCCTCCGAGAAGCTTCGGGAAGGCCCACGTGGAGACCGCTCAGGACAGCCAGCTCGGTGAAACGGGTGCCCCCAAGGTCAGGCCAGAGGCTTCCGCTCTCATGAGGCCGAGGAAAATCTGGAAGCTGGAAAGACTGGAAGTAGAAGCGAGGGTAGAAGGACGGGCGAGGCGGCAGGAGCTCGCTCAGCTGGGACTGGCACTGCGCCAGTGTCTGTGTGGACAGAAGAGGCGGCGGCGAGGGGGCGGCCCCTGCCTCGGTGGTGCCTGCGACCATTATTTATGGATGAGGCCTCACTGGATTTTAGCCTCTAAACTGGGCTCTGCGTGGAGACTGAATGTCCCTCACAGCTGCTCCTTCCTGCAATAACAAGACTGACATCACTGTTGTCAGGGAAATGGTGTTTTGATTAAAATCATGTGACAGCTATTTCGTGACTCAATAAACAAGCTCCATTAACCCTCGCCTGACAGGCATGCCGGGTGCTCGGTGGTCGGAGTAACCTGCCAGCTCGCCAGGATGGGAGGGTCCCCGGCCTTGGCAGGGACTCCACCTGCACTACCGCCGTGAGCGAGCAGCTGAGTGGACCTGGGTCAGTATGGTGCGCAAGGCAGCCATCGGATGCCCAGGAGACGCTGCGGTGTGCTGCATGGGCCACTTTGAGGACATCAGGGCTGGGACTCTGAGGGAACCGAGTGGGGACCCCTCACCACACCCCACGCCACCAAAACTGGCCCTCTCCTTGGAGCTGTTTTCTCCCGAGTGACAGGCTGAGCCCTGAGTCCAGGCCAGCAAAGGGCTGTCACAGGGTCTGAAGCGGGCAGGGACTGAGGGCAGGGCCCCCACAGCCAGGTCCACTGACTCCATGGCCACCTCAGGAACGTGCTCTGCCCACACCCCAGCCAGGGAGTGAGGGGTTAAGAACAATTTCTGGTTTGCAACTGGATGACTTCCTGGATCACTCACTTGGCTGCTGGCCCCTGACGCGCAGGGTTCTGCCTGGCAACAGTCAATTCTCTCCCCATGGCACCCACGGGTCATTTTCCTTCAGTGAAACCAACCGGGAAGGCTCCCTGAGTCATCGGGCAGGGACTTTTCTGGGCTAAATGACCAGCGACTTGTAAGCCCTCCATTCCTGGAAAAGGAAAAGACACCCCCCCCCCCCCAGTTGATGTGACCTGGCTGAGGAGGTGCACCCCACACCTGAGGTCTGGAGCCGGCAGCTTCTCCTGCCCAGTCAGGAGGATTAAGGAGACCAGGACAGGGCTTGAGAAGATGGCTGTGTGGCCACCATGGGTCAAGGGTCAAGGAGAGCTCCCCCAACTTGAGGCTGTCACAGCCACCCACACTTGAGCAAGTCGGTTGTGGAAGAGTCCCGCTCAAGCAAGGCAGAGCAAGCATGACACTGAATTTGAAGGAAACATGAATTCCTCTCTGGGGAAGCCTGTGCTTTGGCCCCGAAAAGAGGAAACTATTCTTGCAGCTGCTTGGGCCAAGTTAAGCACTGAAAAGGGGTGATCACTCAGGCCCCTCTCGGGATGCCCACACTCCTCCCAGAGGACAAAGCAGAAGAGCAGTGCCAGCAAGGGAGAAGCTTTCAGGTGAATGTCTTCAGGGCTCAGTTCACAGGAAATGAAAGCAAAGCCATCATGCACATTTGGAAGGCAAAATTTTATGGCGGCTTCTTGAAGGTCGATTCTTCACCACCCGAACACAATGGCACGAGTGAGTGTGCGAAATCAAACGCAAGGGGGCCCAGGCCCCACATGCAGCTTCTCCGACATTGTTCCGACAGTCTGCTCAAGTCCGGGCTTTTGACTTGGGCTTTTCATGTCAGCCCTGGAGTGGCAACCAACGAGGCTTGCGTAACAGTTCACCCACTGCACAGTATAATGGGCAGAAAAGTCTTCTTGGACAAAAATGCCCTCCGAGGTGCAGAGCTGAGGGCTAAGTCCTGGGAGAGCCATGGGACCAGCCTTGTCTGAGTCACCCGATGGCTTGTGGGAGATGCGACAGCTCAGCAAAATGCTCAGAAAACATTCCAGGGGCTGGAGCAATAGCACAGCGGGTAGGGCATTTGCCTTGCATGCAGCTGAACCAGGTTCGATTCCCAGCAACCCATATGGTCCCCTGAGCACCGCCAGGAGTAATTCCTGAGTGCAGAGCCAGGAGGAACCCCTGTGTATTGCCAGATGTGACCCAAAAAGCAAAAAGCAAAAAAAAAAAAAAAAAAAAAAAAACAACCATTTTAAGACTGAAGGACCTTAGGTCTCCTGCAGGTCTTACAAATGTGCCATCAAGGGACAGTGAAGGTCCATGCCCCTTGGTCTGCCTCTGCACCAGCCAGGGTGGCCTCTGTCCACCCACTACCTCTGTCCAGGCAGCAGGGCCACTTACCTGCCTGGGCGCTGCTTCAGGCCCTCAGGTTCTTGCTGGGCCACCACTAGACAGTAGCTCTACCACTGTCCCTCTGTCACATGATCAGGGCATGTCTCTGAGGGCCATCTTTGTGTCCTAGTCAGTTTATCCTCAGTTGGACCAGCACAGTGGAGAACAAGCCCCGATGCAGAGAAGACCGGCTCACTGCAGGAACTTCCCTCCAGAACCAGGAAAGTGCCACCCCATTGTGCCCAGTGATGCCAGTTGGCTGGTCCCCCACTTCTTGGTCACTGGTGGCCTACAGAGCCCCAACCAGACTGAAAAGAAACTGGTATCAGCTTAAGAGACAACTCTGAAGAAATGACTTGGCTTTCCTACCCAATGAGTAATTAGACTTTTTTCATCTTCCAAAAGATTTCCATCTCGACATTATGTAATTTCCTGGAAACAGCAGGCTTGTAGAGGCACATGGGGAGTAGTGAAACCATTCTAGGTACAAAAAAGGACAGAAGACAGGCAAGTGGACAGGCAAGAGAGAAGCAAGGAACTGGATGGAAATAAGAACCCAGGAAAATTTGGGGGGGGGGGGGGGAGGAAGAATTACATAACGTCAGACCACAATCACTTCATCTCCTCAACCCGTGAACACAGAAACAGCTCCATCCCTCCTCTCCACCTCATTTCCAGCTGTGGAGCAACTCAAAGTTTCAAGCTAAGAGTGCCAGAAGGAAAAAGCGTGAGAGGAATTTCAGTGAAAGGCAAGAGGCTGGAACAGGCACCCAATTTGTTTGGCCACCCTGCCCTACCACCCCTGGGGGGAACGGCACCTCGGCCATTTCTATAGGAAAACACCAGGCTTTCACTTATGGGACGAGAGCAATTAATACACAAAACTGCAACCAGAAAGCACAGTCATGGCTTAGCTGTTGGGCCGGGAATGACATGTTTCCCCCAAGGTCCACAGAACTGATCTCAGGCTAGGCTATGACAGCTCCAAGTATAGGCTGTGTGTTTCCAAGGATCTAGGGCTCGTATTTCAACCAAATCTCCCTAAAACTATCCATCAACCTGTTCGAGTTTTACTGAACAGCTGCCTCTTCAGGTTCAGATCCTGGCAGCACAAAGAAACAAGATCTAGTTTCCTAAACCTGGAAGTGGTCCCCGCCTCACTCTACTCCTTCCCCCCTCCCCCCTCCCCTACACACACACACACACACACACACACACACACACACACCCCGTAGGAAGAGGCACTGAGGTGAAGCATGGTGGTGGAGACATTTTTATAGGCCTAAGGGTCTCTGCATGTCATTTTCACTTTCCTAATGGATCAGAGACCACACGTGACGTGAGCTACACAGAAAGAAAAACACGAGAGCAACGTGTGCTCAAGACAATCCAACGAGTTCAAAAGGAGCTGCTGCCTAAACGGGGATGTGGAGGAGAGCAGGAGAGCCACAGGTTACTTCTCAGGGGCACTGCTCCCCTTGCATCAGGAGGAACGCCTTCACGGACTCGTCCACACACGCAACAATCAGGAGACAGTTTAGAAATTCAAACACATTTTTATTGAGCACCGACCAAGTACACCACACTTAGAAGTGCGGGTGATACAGAAGACAAAACAGACACAAAATCCCTGCCCTTACAGAGCTCCCAGAGCTTACAGTCTACTGAAGCCAGGATCAGAAAACTCTCAGAGAAGAAGGTAACGAGTCATTAGGCAAAGAACTACCCTAAAGGGAAACAAAAGGGGCCCCTTTAAGTCAGAAAGAGCAATGCCGCTCAGAGGGTCACCTACGATCAAGAAAGCCAGGTGCACGGTCTCTCCCTTATGACACTCTCAAGGTGAAAGGATTCGTGCACAGTACTCCCAAGGGGTTACAAGGGGCTTTAAAAGTCCAACCCAAACCAATGTCATTTTCAACCCAAGAGTAAAGCAATGAATGGTTGTGCAACAAAATCAGGACAGTAGTCTCTCAAATATAACTCAATAAAGGAAATATAACCTACAGGTAATACCAAACGAAACCCAACACCTAGAATCAAAATGCACAATAGTTTAGGATATTCGAATGAGAATGTACGGTTTGTTTTGTTTTGCTTAATCCTTAACCAACAAGAGGATAGTAAAATAGAAACTTAGTGTAAGTTAATGTGGCAGTCGAAATTGCAAACAGGTAATTTCTAGATCTTAAATGTTCTGGTTTTTGTGTCTTGTTTTGTTTTTTTAAGTAAGGAAAACTTGAAAGTATTTGGTTAGACTCCGTTTTATGTAATGGTTTAATGTAAAAAGTTCTGGGCTTGATAAGACCAGAGTGTTCACTGGGTTTAATGTAAATAAAGGAAACAATCCAAAATAGGAATCAAGCAAAAAAAGCAAGATGCAGAGAAAAATAAGCTACAACAAACACCTCACCAATTAGTATTTATTAGGGACAAAGAGTGTGATTTGATAAAAAGTGTAAATATATTTAAGAGAGAAATATTTAAATTTTCAGTAAAATAATTATGGTTTTTTTTTAGGGAGAATCGATTTAATTCCTTTTCTACGTTTTGGAGCTACACCCAGCAATGCTCAGGGTAACTCCTCGCACTGCACTCAGGAATCACTCCTGGTGGCGCTGGGTGACCATATGGGATGCTGGGGGTAGAATCTGGATTGGCCACATGCAAGGCAAGAGCCCTACCCACCGCAGTATCCAGCCCCCAGACTGCATTTTTCAAAGGTGTAGTTTCGAAAAGATCTCTGTGGAAGCAATTCTGATATAATTGAAGAGTGATTAGTAGCTGGTTTGTCGACTGGTAAAGGAGTCCTTTTAAAATACTTTTACTTTTTAAAAAATGTTATCTTTTTTTGGGGGAGGGAGGGTGGTCTTTGGGTCATACTTGGCGGCGCTGAGGGTTTCTTCCTGGCTCTGTGGCCTTCTGGTGGGGATCAGTGAGCATGTAGAGTGCTGGGGATAGAACCCGCTATACTATCACTGTGGCCCAAAGCGTAAATTTTTTTAGCTTAGATTCAACAGGTTTCCTTACATACTAATGGTTTGCTTCAACAAAACCTTTACTTATCTTAAATTTCTGGAGGAATTAAGGAAGTTAAACTGTGAAAGTGGCAGAGGAGGAAACATTTTAAATCGTAAGATTCCAGTACTGCTTATACCAAAAACATTAGTGATGAAACTAGTTAGGAAAGCTCTCACCATGCGCAGCAGGATGGACCGATGCAACACCGCAGGAAGCAGAAGCAGGTACTGAGCAGGAAACCCTCAGTTCAGGAAACCCTCAGTTCAGTAGCAGGGGCAATTCCTTTATTACTAGGAACGCAAAACTGTAAACTTACGTAAAACAGTACAGACTACTTATGAAAGAAGGCACTAAATTTCAAGTTTTCCTGAGAGAGAGAGAGAGAGAGAGAGAGAGAGAGAGAGAGAGAGAGAGAGAGAGAATCATTCTTGAACGCAGTCACAGCAGTGAACTGCTGGAATTCAATGAGGTTTCAACATCACACTTTAGCAGCAAGATGTGTCTGCACCTCAGGTTTCGGAATGACATGATTAGAGTCAAAATCAAGCAAATAAAACCCAAAACAACCAATACATGAAGCCCAAGTTTCCATATTCCTCCTTCAAGTGAGATACTAATGTAGTTCATCATTATCCAGGAAAATGTGGCTTCCACTACAATCAAATTTCAATGTATCTCCTGGAGTGTTTATAAAATAAGTTACTCTAAATCATGTATATTTAACTTTGGAATAATGGACACAGATACAGACGTATGTAAACATCAGGAGAATCATTCCACACCCTGACTGGGTCCAAACCCATGCAAGCTTGGTCAGGAGTAGTAAGTGGCCAGAACCTGTTACAGTGCAGATGAGGAGCCTCGATGGTCCCTGCCAAGTCAGTAGGAGACAATCAAGAAATGACTATACGAAGTGTCAGGAATTGGTCACAAGCAGTAAGAATGGTTCACATATAATTATCCCAACAAGGCAGACAAGTAAAAAACAATCCCATTTCATTCTTTAGAAACAATCAAGTCACTGAAATTTGATTTCTTCCAAGTTGGTGCCATTTGCTTGGTTGAGGTCTTGAAGGTTTTCCATTTTTTCTCCACTCAGTTTAAGAGCACATTGACTAGAAATCTGTGATAAGAATTTAGTAAAGTCTCTTCCCTTCTGTTCCTTATTATGCCAACGCAAGCACTGGAAAATTCCAAACAAAATCAAGTTAGTTGTACAGAAAGTTCACAAACTATCTATGAGAACATTAAGCATGACAACAATGACCCAAAAGCTCTCTAGCTTTTCACTCCAGTCGATTTCTTCACTCTATCAGGCTAGGCAGGAGTTCAACTTTCAAAACTGGGTAAAATCCACAGGAAACCTGCTCTCAGGATCGTAGTTCCACCCAGGGCTAGGCAAGGCAGTGAGGAAATGGCCTGCTCACTCCAGAGAGGATGGCGGGCCAGGGTGGTTCTGCCCCAAGACCCCATCCAAGTTTCCCAGCTGTCCCCCCGGCCACCCCCTTAGCATCACTCACACACCCTGTAGTACAACGTAAGGTGTGAGACAGACACAGAAAGACCTACCACTTATAGCCTCCTGTGCAAAGTATTTCACATCCATGTCTTCATCTTGGCCTAACTTCTGCAGCACTGGCTTAACTTCCTCCTGCAAAGCACTAAAATCCAACAGTCATCCGTGAAAGGTAGGTTTCTTAAAAGCTTTATGGCATATATGCTCTATGGTCATTTTAAAAGGTTAAAAACTAACGACAAGTATTGATTTCCAAAGTTCTCAGCAGTTTAAAGCAATGACCAAAACATATACTCCAAAAAAAAAGTGAATACCTTCAAAACTGTTATAAAATTATTTTCCTTTAGGGGCTACTCAGTGCTGCGTAGGTCAGGAATAGTCAGAGGCCACCAGCCACACCCAGAAATGCCAGGATCAAACTAGCTCCCCAAATTATTTTCCTCAGGGCTTGGGATGTGGCTCAAGTGGCATGGCAAGTACCTTGAATTCAATTCAGGGACCCACCACATATACCCCATAACACCAAGCACCACTGAGAATAGCTCTGACCCCCCCCCCCAAATACTGCAGGGCATCCCCCAAACTATTATCTTCTTTAAAGAAGCCTCCATCTGGGGCTGGAGCGATAGCACAGCGGATAGGGTGTTTGCCTTGCACTCGAACCGAGCCAGGTTCGATGGCCAGCATCCCATATGGTCCCCGAGCACTGCCAGGAGTAATTCCTGAGTGCATGAGCCAGGAGTAGTAACTCCTGTGGATTGCCGGGTGTGACTCCCCCATCCAAAAAAGCCTCCACCCTAAGTGAAAAATGACTGAATTTCATTTCCTCTTATTACTCCTCTCTAAAAGGTCATTCTTGGGGGCTGGAGCAACAGTAAAATGAATTCAAGTGCTTGGTCTGCAAGCAGGAAACCTATGTTCAATCCCCTAAACACTACCTGGCTGGAAGTAATCTTTGAACTTGGCTCAAAACTCACAAAGTAAATAATTCAGGGTGCACGCAGCAGCACATCCTCAGGCCATGACAGTGAACCGTCAGCCTGGTTGGCCAGTGAACTGCTGAGAAGGTCCCTGGGCGCCCTGAGCACCCCTTGAGAATTCCTCCAACTAGAGCAATTTAATTAAAATATAAGAGATAAAAATTCCAAGCTGCTTTCTGAGCAAAAACAGTACTAAAATCTTACTCAGTGTGTAGAATCGGTCCGATTTTTTGCAGTGATTTGGCCACATTGAAACGAACATTCGCGACTTGGTCTCCTGCCATCTTCAACACAATGGGCAGCATCTGCTTCGTGGTTATTTCCTGACCACAGGCTTCAGACAGTGCCTAGGAGAAGAAATGAGAGTGGCACAATAAAAAGCACTCTTCTCTTTCTAAGCTTCCCCAAATCTAAAGAAACAAATTAATATTTAATAATGCCAAGAGAAAAGTTTTTCTAATTTGAGCACAACAATGAGGGATAGAAGGTAACACAAAGAATCACAGGTTGGTATGTTCCACCGTAATGTTATTTATTATAATGTTCAAGGTTTGGAAATAGTGAATCAAGACGAGGTATCTAAACCCAGCAGAACACCCAAGAAAAGATGAATTCTTTCCTTTTTCTACAACATGGATGGAAGTGACAGGTATGTTACGTTAAGCAAAATATGTCAGAAAGAAAAAATATAAACTCATTTGCACACTCTTACATGTGGTAAAGAAAAAAAAAGAAGAATCACAGGTTTAGCCTGGAATTCATGAGTGACTTGACTGTTAGAGGTTTTTTTTTTTAATTGAGGTCTTATTTCTTTAATTTTTCTTTTCCTATTCCTTTCCTGTGTGTCAGGATGGACAGTACGTGCACACCTGGTGGCAGCACTGACTTCCTCCTGCAGCTGCTACTCACACTAGCTGCAGTGCATGACAGAGACTGCACCCCATGGCACCGGGACTTGCTCAGAATGGGATCAGTGGTATCAGGAACGGCCAGATGGCTTCATGCCTATAGGACAGGAGCCCTACTATGAAGTCACATTTCCAGGCTCCTGCTAGAGTTTCTGTTTATTATTTTGTTTTGTTTTTAATCCCTTTTTCTTTTTGGGGGAAAAGCACAGGAGGGAAGAATAAGCCAGGGAAGCTTGCAGATTATGGGAAGGGGTCACCTGAAGCAGGATTCCCTCCCTGTTAGAGATTATCATGTACACTGAAACAGGGACAGCATCTCCTATCTAAATGAAATCAGTGTAATATGTATTCCTGGGCCAGGGATGAGGGAAGGGGGAAGAGAAGGAAGAAGATACGGGTCAAAAGGAAGAAGATACGGGTCAAAGCACCAGCCTGCCATGCAAATCTGAGGTAAGAGTCTGATCCTTGGTGCCACCCACATGTGTTTCAGCACTCCAACAGTGCTGATCTCTGAGGCGCTGTCAGTGTAGGCACACAGAGCAAACTCCAGCAAGCAGCTGTGTGAGCACTACGGCAAGGCCTGAGGAGCAAAAACAGAGCATGCTTCAGCACCGGAACTCTATCATGACAACCCCTGGAGTGCGTGCACAACCGCAACCTACAGGGCAAGCAACCCTGTGGGAGATGAGCACTAAAGGAGGGATGCAAAGGCCTCAGGCAGTACTGCCAAGGTGTGTGTGTGTATAAGCATCACAATGACACCTCTGCGGCAGCTCCCCTCCCCACTCTGCCCCAGGTCATTGCAACAGCAGCAACAAAGGGAAAGGGAAATTCTTAATATCAAAAAACTGCAAACAAACACCCAAAGGGGAGAGAGAGTAAAAGGGAACGTGCCTGCCACAGAGGCAGAGTGGGGGATGGGGTGGGAGAGGCAGGAGGGATACTGGGAACACTGGTGGTGGAGAACAGGCACTGGTGGAGGGAAGGGTACTTGTCATGACTGAAACGCAATCACGAAAGTCCATAAGTCTGTAACAGTATATAACATTGATTCATTAAAAAATATTTAAAACAAACAAAAAAAAGAAACAACCTGAGTGCCTGAGGACAGATGATTGGTTAAAAAAATCTATGTACCAAAAAAAAAAAATCTATGTACATCTATACAATGGAATATTATGCAGCTATTAGGGAAAATGAAGTTATGAAATTGACTTATAAATAAACAGATGGACATGGAGAGTATTATGCTGAATGAAATGAGTCAGAAGGAGAGGATAGACATAAAATGATTGGACTCCTTTGGGGATATAACAAAACCTAGTATGAGACTAATACTCAAGGGCAGCAAAAGCAAGGGCCAGGAGGGTTGGTCCACGGTGGGAAGCTTGCCTCAAGTGCTGGGGGAGAAGGCAGTTGGGATAGAGAAGGGACCACTAGGACAAAGACAGCTGGAAATGATCACTCTGGATAAGAACTGCATACTGAAAATAGGGAAAGGAACAAGCATGATAACCTCTCAGTATCTGTATTGCAAGCACAATGCCCAAAAGTGGGGGAGGGAGTGGGAGGAGAGAAGGAGGGAGAAGGGGGAGGAGGGAGGGAGATGGAAAGAGAGAGACAGGGAGGGAGGAGGGTGGGGGAGAGGGGGAGAGGGAGGGGGAGAGAGAGAGAGAGAGAGAGAGAGAGAGAGAGAGAGAGAGAGAAGTGCCTGCCACAGAGACAGGCTAGGGGGAGGGTGGTAGGAGGGAAACTGGGGACACTGGACATTGGTGGTCGGAAATGTACCTGGTGGAGGACTGGGTACTGGAACACTGTATGACTGAAACCAGACCATGAACAGCTTTTTAACTGTGTATCTCACAGTAATTCAATTTAAAAACAACAACAACAACAAAAAAACTAATATATTCCACAGAGAAGACATGTTCAGATTTCAGAAATACAAGACTAAATAATTGCTTTAATAACTGAATCGAGTAATAAAAGCTATGGAATACTTACATTAATACAAAATAAAGTGGTCATTCTATGCAAGTAATTAGGATCATTTGCCATCACTAGCACTTTCGGAACAATGGTATTTTGGGCCCAATCTGTACCAAACTTCTGAACCAGTTTCATAAGGTTGTTGGTGGCAGCTTCACGAATGGCATACACTGTAAATGAGGGGGAAACATTCTTGTATGGCTTCTATAATAACCTTATTCCATAATCTAATTTACTTACACCATCAGTCAAGTGGACCCACCCACACCAGAACTGCCAACTCACTCCACGGTGAATCACACTATGGAAACATACGTGGGTAGAACCCAGGTATGTGGGACCCATGGCTGAGATCTCCAAGCCTGCTCGCATGGGGACTGGGCCTCCTCCACCAGATCTCCAGTTTTCCAGTAGCTTGGAAGTCACACACACAAACTGTCCCTGGTGCCATGTAATCTCATCAACGGCCAAGATCCAGAAGACTATAATATAAAACTACCAGAAGAGAGCGATACAGTATTTCCTGGAGCATGTGGCCACAAATGGGGCCACGTGACCTTTTATACTCTAGCCCACTGATGTACCTAAAGTAGCACACATGTGTTTGGTTTTTAACATACTTGCTTCTATTTTTGTATATACGGGCTTAAATAGGCTGAAGCAATAGCACAGCAGTAGCGCGTTTGCCTTACATGCAGTCGACCCGAGTTCCATTCCTCCATCCCTCTCAGAGAGCCCGGCAAGCTACCAAGAGTATCCCGCCCGCACAGCAGAGCCTGGCAAGCTACCTGTGGCATATTCAATACCAATATGCCAAAAACAGTAACAATGTCTCACAACAGAGATGTTACTGGTGCCTTCTCCAGCAGACTGATGAACAACGGGGGTACAATGCTACAGTGCTACTGGCTTAAATGGCCCCAGAATGGAATACAACAACCTTCACACATTTCCCTCTTATTGTGGTGGGAAGATGCCTGCTGGTTGGGTGGGTGTTTGAATATTATCAGTAATGAACTATTGTGAACTACTTTATGAAAATAAAATGTATAAAAATCATAAAAAATACATACAGGGGCATAACTCATATCACACTGATTTGTCTACTCGAGAGATCTGAAATGTGTATGTCCAAGGTAGGAGGTACTGAGCTCATTAGAGGCCATCAGTGCCCATAACACCAGACATTTACTATACAAGACCGGAAGTAGGTAACTCTTCTCACAAAGCCTGTGTAAGAGCAGGCAAGATAACGTAACAGCCCTAAAAAGCCTATGGGAGAAGCAACCTGCTCTAAGAAGCAAGTTCAAGTCCACTCTGCTACCCATAATACACAATGCCATCCTGCATTCACATCCAGTTCCTGCTGTGACACAAACTACTCCGCAGTCCGTACCACTAAAGGTGGAGCTAGCTAGAACATCGATATCTTCTCCCCTAATTCTGTTACTTCACTTGGGATTTTTCCTATTCTGATCTACTACTATAGGATAGTGTCTCTCAAAGTAACCAAAATGGACCACAAACAGGCTCAGTCTTCGCGATCTCAACCTGAAATGCACTTGGCTCTACTTGGCACTTGGCTCTACTTGGTCAGACTCGACAATGTTCTTGGCTCCTCCTCTCATTTTTGCAGGCCACGCCATAGTTCTCTGCCTGTTGTCTGTCTGTCTGTCTCTCCTCCCCCTCCCTCCCTCCCTCCCTCCCTTTGTCTTCAACCCTCTCTCTCTCTTTCCATCTTTCTTTTTCCCCTCAAGGTCTGACTGATTTGGAAGGTTCCTCTGAGCAAGTATCTAACATAATACAAGCTCACTCAGCTTTGATACTTTTTCCTTTCTATAAAACCCAGGGGCCGGGGAGATAGCTGAAGTGAAGGCGTTGCATGTGGAGGCCCTGAGTTCAATCCCCAGAACTATCCAGTCTCTGGAAAACTATCTGAAGCAATTCCCCCAACCACACTCCCTCCCCCCCCCCCCCCAAAAAAATGTACTGGATGTGGCCCATAAAACAGACAGAAAGAATTAAATTCCTGCTTCCAAATTGGAGACGAAACATATTTAGGAAAAGAGGAATATTTAGCTTCCACAGACAAAGCAATCCTGCAAAGAAATGGCATCAGGAAATTAATTTGTAACTTGTAACCTTTTAATTTCCTCAAAATTTGGGTCAGAGAAAGAGCTCAATAGACTGGAGTGAATTGTGGGAGTGTCTTAAGTTCAATCCCCAACACTGCATGGCCCCCAAGCACCACTGGGAGCAACCCCAGAGCACTAAGTGAGGAGTAGCACCCAAGCACCATCACAATGTGGCCCAAAAACAACATCAAAAAGAACCAGCAGAAGCATAAATACATAAGCATTTATTTATTTTCACTCCCCCAAAATATAGCACCATAAGCATTCACAGATAAAAATACTCAATACTCTATGAAATGTTAATATATATAAGTAATATATGGGCTGGAGCGATAGGACAGTGGGTAGGGCCTTGCACACAGCTGACCCAGGTTTGATTCCTCCATCCCTCTCGGAGAGCTCGGCAAGCTACCGAGAGTATCCTGCCTGCTCAGCAGAGTCTGGCAAGCTCCCCATGGCGTATTCGGTATGCCAAAAACAGTAACAACAAGTCTCACAATGGAGACGTTACTGGTGCTCGCTCAAGCAAAACAACGAACAACGGGAGGACAGTGCTACAGTGCTAATACTATATATATATATATAATATAAATTATATATATATAATGCTGTGGAATCATAATACATGCTTAGTGTCTCCACCAAGCATGGAATAGAGGCTCACTGAACACTGTGCCACAAGTCCCCAAGGGTCCTCATCTGAGGTTACAGACCCCAATGAGGCTTCTGGGTCAAGACCTGGGGCCTGGCACTGATCTCTGTCAGAGGGCAGCCCGCCTACTTTCCACTGCCCGACAAAGAACATAAAGACAAGTTAAATATAAAGTGGTTTTATATGAAACAACAGCTGCGGGGGACGGGGGGAGGGGGAGCTGGAAGGAGTAGTGTGGGTGCCAGGCACTGAACCCAGAGCCTCAGGCATGCAAAACACGCATTCTACCGCCAAACTACAACCCGGGCCTCTGTCCTCCATATTTTGGTAAGCAACAGTACCAGCTCTCATTTCTAACCATTTGTGGCACAACAAGAAGTCTGTGCCTGCTGAAGGAAATAAAATAATGCTATAAATATAGAAGGACCAAGAAAGGGACCGGAGATTGCATTATCTAAACGCTGCCCTGGCTGATCCTACCAACGCCTGACCCCACTGAGCACTGGGGAAGCAAATGGCTGGGGGAGGCCGTGACTCTTTCCCTCACTGAAACCAGAAATCCAGGGGCCTTCTCTGCCTCAGGTCACAAGCTGACGTCTCCCTCTTCCAGGCTCCTGTGCCATGCCACTTGACCTCTTTCTCTCCATACCACATCAGAGAAGGCCACAAAAACGTTTCTTTTCCCATCATCACCCCTGGCCCCCCTCACCTTTCATCTGATTCCAATCCCTGTGCAACCAAGTTTATTGTGGCTAAAAATACAAAGACAGCATGAAGATAACATGATCGAATAAACAAGCAATAGGGCAGATTGTTTAATGGAGAAGGTAGCACTGTAGCACTGTCCTCCCGTGGTTCACTGAACTGCTCGAGCGGGTCCAGTAACATCTCATTGTGAGACTTGTTGTTACTGTGTTTGGCATATCGAATACATCACGGGTAGCTTGCCAGGCTTTGCCGTGCAGGCGGGATACTCTCGGTAGCTTGCTGGGCTCTCCGAGAGGGGTGAAGGAATCGAACCCAGCACGGCCGGGCCAGCTGCGCGCAAGGCAAACGCCCTACTGCTGTGCTATCACTCCATGGAGAAGGTAAGAATAAAATTTTAAGGGGGTGGAGTGATAACACAGCGGGCAGGGCATTTGCCTTGCACGCGGCCAACCCAGGTTTGATTCCCAGCATCCCATATGGTCCCCTGAGCACCGCCAGGAGTCATTCCTGAGTGCAAAGTCAGGAGTAACCCCTGAGCATTGCCGGGTGTGACCCAAAAAGCAATAAATAAATAAATAAATAAATAAATAAATAAATAAATAAAATTTAAGATAGAGGGGCCAGGGCATTAGTGAAGCAGGCAGGGCACTTGCCTGGCACACAGCCAAAGTGGATTTGATCCCCAGCACCCCACGTGGTCCCGTGAGTCCGCCAGGAGTGATTCCAGTCCACAAAGCCAGGAGTAAGCCCTGCGCACTGCCACGTGAGCCCCCAAAATCAAAGGGAAAAAATTTTTTAAGATTTTTTTTTCCCTTTTTGGGTCACACCTGGTGATGGAGATGCACAGGGGTTACTCCTGGCTCTGCACTCAGGAATGACTCCTGGCAGTGCTCAGGGGACCATATGGGATGCTGGGAATCAAACCTGGGTTGGCCGCGTGCAAGGCAAATGCCCTACCCACTGTGCTATTGCTCCAGCCCCAGCAAACACAGCGGGCAGGGCATGCAAGGCAAACGCCCTACCCACTGTACTATCACTCCAGCCCAAAATTTACGATTTTTAAATTTAAAATTTTTAAATCAGTCTATTTAGAGGCAAAAAGCTGAACCGTTGTGGCTGGAGAGACAGTACAGTGGGTAGGGCGCTTGCCTTGTACACTGCCCACCCATCTCATGTGGTTCCCTGAGCATCTCCAGAAGTCAATTCCTTGGTGCAGAGCCAGGTGTAAGCAAGCCCTGAGCATTGCTGGGTGTGGCCCCAAAACAGCAACAACAAAGCAGAAAGGTCAAACTTGGTTCAAAGGAAGTAAAATCAACTGTAATCACGTGATAAAGCAAAAAATAACCGGTCGGGTTAGGATTCCTTTCTAAAAAGGAAATATATGAACAAAATGTTCTTAACAAAATATATGAACAAAATATATTAAGAAACATGGGCCTTCCATGACAAACTTTTAAAAAACTTTTCTATGCGGGGCCAGAGAGATAAACAGTACAGTGGGTAAGGTTCTTGCCCTTGCATGCAGCTGACCCAGGTTCAATCCTGGCACCACATATAGATCCCAAGTTCCTCCAGGAGTGATCCGACCGGAGAGACAGAATCAAGCCCTGGGCACCACCACATAAGGCCCCAAAGCAAGAACAATCCAATAAAATGTTTCTACTTACCATGGTCCACAAGCCAGGCCATACACAAAGAGTTCAGTTTTTCATCAAAGAATTCCACACCCTATGGATACAGAGGAGTCCGTCAATACAGATCGCCTGATATAGAAATCAAGATGATCTTACATTACCCCAAAGTGATCTAAACTAAAACAAAAGCCATGGAATCTGATTTACAAACTGTAAAAAACAGCTAGGAGAGCTCAAAGGGCCGGTCACATACTTTGCATACAGAAGACCTAGGTCCAATTTCTGGCACTGCATGTTACCCTGAGCACCAAAGAAAGTGAACCACCATCACACGGCCAAAAATAACCCCTGAACACTGCCCCTAAACACAAAAACACAAACAAAATAATGATAACAAAAAAGTGTAAGTGAGATGGTTAGATGATCCAAGCCCTGCTAACTGAAGAAATAAGGGGCCTAGGGCCAAGCCCAATGCTGCAGGTAAGTAGGGAATAGGCAATGTGGGCTAGCTGGAATCACTTTCTAGATCTATTTTTGTTTTTTGTTTTGTTTTTGGGACACACCCAACAATAGTCAGGGCGAGGATACTCTGAGCTCAGGGATCAGCCCTGGCAGGCTCAGGAGACCATATGGGGTCCCCAGGATCAAAGCCAAGCATACAAGACAAATGCTGTACCCGCTGTACTACCACTCCAGCCCAACTTTATAGATTTATAAAACTAGAAAAAAAAATCTCTCAATGGTATCAGCAATTCTTAAAAACATGTCCCCTTCTGAAGACTTAAACTGATGTTAATAGGTATCTCCTCCTATCTAAAGAAATAAGAATCACCAATGCCTGGTATGTTTAAGACCCCAAATTCAACCCCTGGCACCACATAGCCCTTAGGCACCACTATGTATCCACCTCAGCCCTGGATGCCCGAGTACCAATGGAGTGGCCCAGGGGCGGGGGCGGGGGGTGTCTCAGCACCACAAGCACTAAACCACAGGCTGGTGAACTGCTGTTCCCCAGCACCATAGGGAGTGACAGTATATAAAAACAAAACAAAACCAGCCCAAAAAACCCCGTATTTCCAAAGAGAGCATTTCTGGGATGATGGGGAAAAGCAGGGGCAGAAGGTGGACAGAAAGAGAGGTAAAATGGCCTCAGCACAAGCACAAGGGGAGCCAAACTGATGCTACCAGCTCTGCTCTTCCTATCAGCAGGCAGACACCCTGCATGAGCTGGCAAAGAGCTCATTTACACACACCTGCCACAGACGAACCACAGGGCTTCTTTCATCCAGACACAAACCACATACAAATCAGGGACTTTTATCTTTTGGGTGGGGGTGGATGCTCAATCCAGGGGTTATCCTCAATCCAGCAATGCCAGGGGTCCGCAGGGCTGTATCCAGCAGAGCAGCGGTGGTGACTGAAGCCAGGGATACCAGGTGCAAGGCATGTCCCTAGCCCCTTCTCTCAGCCCGGCCGCCCTGGGACTTCTGAAACACGCAGGAAAATGCTGGGACACATTCCTTCCTAGTGCCACCCTTTTGGGTTCTCTGTTTATGGTTCTCACTTCTTTAGATCCTAAAATGTTCCTGACCATTGGTTTAAATAAGAAGAAGTGTTGAATAAAGTGCTCTGACAGTACAGATTTGGTAAAATAGCTAAGATTATGAGCAAGTTTTGGCACACACTTACATTACCATGTCAGGTCTCAAGAATGCCCCTTTTATTTCAGATTGTATAATTCCCTTGTCTTTTTTAATTTCCTGGTTTTTGTGGTTTAACATTACATTTACTGACTTAAGACCCACAAGCCAAACCACAAAGCCCTGAGTTTTATAAATTGAATGTCTAATATAAAAATATTTAAAAAGGAAAGACAAAATATACAATACTAACAAATTGAAGCTGGGACCAGAGAGATACTACAGGGGCTAAAGTTCATGCTTTGCATGCAATTGACCCTGTTCAATCCCAGGCACTGAATCTACCACTTGAGCACAGAAAGCCAGGAATGGTTTCCAAGCACAGCCAGATGTAGCCCCAAAAACAAAAACCAAATACCAACAAATGTTAAGTATCTGACTAAGGCCAGGCATCAAGGTTTTAGGGGCTTGGGTGGTGTGTTTGTGGGGGAAGTGTTGGGGACTCTAGCAGTACTCAGGAGTTACTCTTGGTGGTGCGCAGGAAAACATACAGTGACAAAGATCAAACCAGGGTTAAGGCACCGTTAAGTAAAACCTTTACACTCTCCAGCCCTGACGTCAGGCACTATTGGGGGAAAAAACATGGATCATAAGGTTAGGGTCATAGTTTAGTGGTAAAGCACTTGTCCTGCATACATGAGACCACACACACATACACAGACAGCAGTCCCCCATTCCAACCCCGCCCCCCACTACAGTTCCTGTACTATGAGATCACACACACACGCACGCACACACACCAGTTCCTATACTATGAGATCACTTATCTATCACCCAAACCAGTCTTTAATGGGCAGTTACAGTATATGTATAAGTGCTACCAGCATAGGGATATATGAAATAAGAATTTACTACAAAAAAAATAAGGGAAATGGGGCTGGAGTCCTAGTATAGCAGATGGGGCATTGCCTTGCATGAGGCTGATCTGGGTTCAATTCCCAGCATCCCATATGCTCTCTTGAGCACTGCCAGGAGTAACATCTGGGCATCACTGGGTGTGACCCCAAAAGCAAAAAAAAAGGGGGGGGGGACGGAACAATGTGGCTATAAAACCCAGTATTAAAATTTTAATCACCATAGTATCACAATAACACTAATCATGAAATTCAAGCAGTAGCAGACAATCATGGAAATTCCAAACATGGAAATTAGCCAATATACTAACATTACAAAGTTCCAGTATTTATATATGGTTATTTTGCTCAGAATATAAGCCAACAGGGAAACTGTCCTGAGCAAAAATAAAAATTGATTTGTTCCCATTTCCTCTCAGTTATAATACTGAATTCATAGTCATTATAAATAGCACAAAATCTAGGTTACATATACAGAAAAACTGATATTTTCTAAGGCAGAAGTTCCCAAAACTACTTGGTCTACAGCACTCCCTTTTCCAGAAGGGAAAAAAAAAAAAGTCCCCCCCGCCCCCCCCCCAACTCAACCACCTTTAAGCTAAAAACAGAAAATGCAAACCCCACCCCCACCCCCACTGCACCCAAGGCCACCACGGCCTCCCTGAATCCTCTCAGCAACAAGGAGTAGGATCACCCACTTTTGGAAACTTTGGTCTCAGCCTTTACAAGTGGTGAGATGAAATATGTTTCTGTAATTCTCTTCTATTACAAGCTCATGAACAAGTCTGAATGACTAAAACCCATGCCACAAGCGGCTAGGACTGATCACACTTTCACATTTACCTAAATGATCACTATCATCTGAGCTCTTTAGGCCTCTGACTTGCAGAGGTACATGTACTGTGAGACGCTACACGTCACTTCATGGGACAATACAACTCACCAGCTGGCCTGCCAGCAGTGGCATATACTCAATGATAGCCAGGCGGACCCTCCACTTGGCATCCTCAGCCAGCTCCACAATGGCAGGCAGAAGAGACTGGGAGAGCTGACGAATTCCAATTACTTCATTTACACAATCCAAGTTGGAAATGATATTCAAACGAACTTCTGGGCACTGTAAGGACATAAGCCCCCAAAATACACGTAAAAACCAATTCTCTACCCAATATTCAACTGCCATGTGAGAGGGAAACAGCTAAATAAATTTAAAAATAAAATTGGTTCAGGTTTAAAAAAAAAAAGTAGTCTTAAAAGAAATACTAAATATCAAGAATATAATATATGATTCAAAACAAGTAAGTCATTGACCTTAACCAGAACTTCCATGAAAACTCTACAGGATGATAAAGCAGAGATTCCCAAATCAAATCACATACTTTCAAGTCCCAGTCTGCATTACTGAGAGCATGAGCAATTTTATCTTGCTGTGCCTCAGCATCCTTATCTGTAAAACGGGGTCAATAAGAAGACCAGTCTCATAATACTGTTGCAGATTACATATAATACATGCATAGCACTTAGTGATCATACCTGGCACAAAAGAGAACTCAGTACATGTCTGCTGAGCTGGGCGCTGTACTCAGCAGCAGAGTGCCTGTCTTACACTCAAGAGACCTGGACTCTATCCCAGCATCACTTTAAAAAGAAATGCTAGCAATACTTATAATTAATTTTTGTACTATACTTAAATTAAACAAAGATACTTCTCCTTTAAGGAGAAGAGATCACTACATAGAAGAACTTGAGGAAAGAGGATGTACAGATGCTATGCCTCCATACGCAGATTCTCAGCCCATTTTCGGGGAAATTTATAATCCCATACATACACATACACATGGTCAGTGATTAAAACATTGGAATTTTTTTTTCAATCCCTTCATTCTCATTCTGAGGTTCATTTTAGTGAAATCCCAAACCAAAATGAAGCCAAATCATTATCAAAGGAATAGAAATTTACAGCCACTTACCTCATCCTTTAACTGGGCTAAAAACAGAGGCAGAAGATGTTCAATGGTGTTCTCTTTACCCAAAATGGTAGACAGTCCCATAATTACAGAAGCTAAAGCTGATTTGACATGTTGATTTGTGTCAGATACTAATTCCTAAAATAAAATTAAAAGCGATTTTTTTTGCACTACAATAAAATCTTCCATACCATCTCCCAAGAAATTTAAAAATATTGACTAGTTGGTACATTTCCTGAGACTATCTACTAATACAAATTTATACACCAAAGAGCAATTGACTATTACAAAGTACTAAAAAGTAAAGCATAAACCACACATCAATATAATTTACCCATTCACCCCTTCCTGCCTTTAATCTAAAAGAGCTTAAAGAGAAAACATACACGGGCAAGGAAGGTGGTAAGAGAACTGGTAAGCTCACTGAGCTTGCACGCAGGAGCTGCAGGTTCAATCCCCAGCATCCCCACGGTTCCCAGAGTACCAACACGAATGCACGTATGCCCTATAAGCCCCACCCAAAGGATGTAACAATTTTCATATAGTGCTGAAACCAAAAATTTAGATTTACCTTTATATAGGGCAGAATTTGATTCATAATTATGGTCTCTCTACCTTCGGTGGGCAAGTTCTCACTAAGTTCTAAAATCGAGAAGACAAGTCATGTTTATATAATCATTACAGGAGTCAAGTTTTATCAAGAGTTACAAAGTCAAGTCAAATCATAAGCTTAAGCAAGTTACGCAGTAAGAGGGAACAAGAACTCTTACTCTACACTTCTTCTCTCAACTATATGCCCCTGAGTATCAAGTCAAACAATTCTGAAAACGATTTCTTAAAAATAACAGGAACAGGGTAAAATAGCTTTTTGGCTTTCAATACAAATCCCTTTATGGCAATGTGACATTTCTATACCATAAAATCATCTCCACTTTTTAAAGTTATATTCCAGAACAAAAAATTTAGCTGGAGTACAATACTGAGGGCTAATATGGGAGACCGATCAGGGGTCAGGGCATGTTCTCTGCATGTGCAGGGATCTGAGTCTGATGCCTACGACCCCTTGCCCCCTCAACCCCACTACCACCACGTATAGCCCTGGAGGCCCCGGCCACCTTTGAGATGTCCTAGTAGACTCCAGGACACACCTCCAGCACTAAGTTGAGCTGTCTGGTCCACCTGACTGACTACTGCCAGTTGTGACTGCTGCCCCACCCCCACCCCAATCCTGTTCCCCCCAAGAAACTTTTAACTATGACATACAAACATGAAAGAGGCTCAAGGAAAACTAAACAACTTAACCTTTGACTTTGTGGGCAGCAGCTGCTCGAACTTCAGCTTCACAGTCCTTAAGAAGGTTCTGAAAGGCGGGGATGAGGTCATTCAGGGTAATTTTAGGACCCACGGCTTTCTGGAGCTATAAAAGAAGTTGTACAGGCTTCAATGTATACTAACCAAGTGACCAACATGAACAACAACAAAAAACCAAAAAACCATCAAATTGTATTTGTGTGACTAAGTACTTCCAATTCAGAATTCAGAAACCTGTGTGTAGTACAAGAGCAAATATACAGAAGACAGAGAAATAGTCAATGAACTAAGAGCATGATTTGCATGTGAGGTGCACAGGTTTGGTCCCTGGTACCTACCCCAAGCACTATCAGAGCAAACTCGCGCAGAGAGTTGGAAATACCCCAGCATCATTGGATATGAACCAAAAAAAACAAACAAAAAGAGCAAAAGTATGTGGGTTTGGGTTTTGTTGTTATTATTTGGCTTTGTTTTTTAGCAATTAAAATATTAATGCAACAACTTGCATGTGTAAGGCTCCAGGTTTGATCTCAGTTCCACAGACTCTAAGAATCTGAACACAGAGCTGGTGGCCTCGAACTGCTGAGCTCAAGCACCACTTGGAATGGGCCCCAAAATTGTCAATACAGACGCCAAGCAGAGCAATAAAATTTATCAGGTCACACTCTTAAGCTACTGAGTGGTCCCTAAAAATGAAAAAAACAGAGGCTGGAGTAACAGCACAGCGGGTAGGGTGTTTGCCTTGCACACGGCTGACCTGGATTCGATTCCCAGCATTCCATATGGTCCCCTGAGCACCGCCAAGAGTAATTCCTGAGTGCAAAGCCAGGAGTAATGCTTGTGCACTGCTGGGTGTGACCCAGAAAGGGGGAAAAAAAAGAATGAAAGGAACATGCCCACATCAGAATCACACCCCCAACCCTGCCTACCCCATGCTGTTAGCTCAGAATATTCAGAGACTAGCACATCTGCAAACAGAAAGAAAGCATCATGTATCGAGACACTCAATGGAAAAGGTGAAATGGAAAAAAGCGTAAATGAAATCAGTTACCTCTGAAAATTTGTCAGCGACCATGTATCGGACTCGCCAAGATTTGTCTTCTGCTGCCTGTCGAAGAGTGGGCATCACCAAAGTCTCAAGGTCACCCTGGGGCAGTAACTGGGCAATACTGACACAAGCTTCCACAGCCAGGAGACGCACTGAATCCTAAAGGAACAAATTTCCTTACCGTTACACAATTATTTACAGAGAAAAATGGGGAGGGAGGTGGGGGAAAAGGAATCCTCATTCACTGTTGATGGGAAATGCCATCAGGTTCAGTCTTTATGGAAAAATGGTATGCAGACATCTCAAAAAAAAAAAAATGAAGAACGAGAGAGAGTACAGAGGATCAGATAGCATGTTTCCTAAAACCCGCTGCACTTGTTTATCTCAAAATAAAAACTTCAGAAAACATCATTCACCCATCTAACAATCAACCCTACAATGTACAAAGATTACCCCTTAACGCAGCCACTGTTTTTTTTTTTTTAATGTAGGAGTACTGCTATTTATTCAGGCACTGATTAGGCTAATTGAATTTTGCATGAACTCCACGCCACTGGTCTTCTAATTCTGGCTCCCATTCTATGACACCACCTTATAACAACTGTTAACATCTGGAGCGATAGCATAGCGGTAGGGCATTTGCCTTGCACGCAGCCAACATGGCCGACCCGAGTTCGATTCCTCCGCCCCTCTTGGAGAGCCCGGCAAGCTACCGAGAGTATCTCGCCCGCACGGCAGAGCCTGGCAAGCTCCCCGTGATGTATTCGATATGCCAGACACAGTAACAACAAAGTCTCCAATGGAGACGTTACTGGGCCCGCTCGAGCAAATCGATGAACAACGGGAGGACCGTGACTGGTCTAATATTAAACTTTATTCAGCGTAGAATTAAACATGAATTTTGAAAATAAAAAAAATCCCAATAAGAAAACTGAAACTCCCTAGAAATTTTCTAAACATGCTACAAGGGAAATTTATCTATGTAGCCTAAATACTAGGCGTTACTTACCTGTTCATCTGAAGCTAGATTAGTGAACAATGGAACAATCTCACTTTTCACACTGTCTAATTCCAAAACTTTTGCAAATTCACCCAGTTTGGAAGCAGCAGCACGTCGTACCATTGGTGTGTCATCTGAGCACAAGGAACGGAAGTGCCTGCAGCAAATAAAAATAATGTAGGGACTTCCTATCAAGTATCATTGATTAAACACTCCCAGCAACACACACACATGTGGACAGATGTTCTAAAATTGTTCTCAACTAGACAGAAAAGTCTTTCGGTACTGCTGGTACCACCAAGAAACCTGCCATCAGTCACTCACTGTAACAAGTCACCGTGTAAACCCATCAGGTACAAGTTCCCAATAACCCCAAATAACCGAAAATCCCTTGATGTGTCTTACTGTCGAATTTCTGCTTTGACAGCATTTGAAGCCCTGGGATAGCAAACGCTGAACAAGCCACATGCAGATGTTCGAGACGTGAACCAGTCCCCGCTCGCGAGGCGCTTCACCAGAGGAACGAAATGAGCTTCCAGCGCCACGGCGGTGTGCTCCTGGGAAATCTGCCGCAGAGACTCCACCGCCTTGTCCCGGACCACTGTCTCTTCCACGGTAGCCAGGCTTTCCAAAGGAGGCTGAACAGACCAAAAGGGACAATCAGAGGGGAAAACTCTGTTAGATACAGATTATCATTTTTGAAAATGACTGAAGGGAGGGGGTCCATGTAACCAGAATGTTCACTACACCACACCAAATGGTTACTTTCAGTTCACACAGTGATAACATATGGTGTGTTCAACCTGAAGACACGACTTCTGTAGGACAGCCAAGATCTCATGTCCCAGATGGCACTTCCCAGATGGTGTCTACAAATGACACAGTGGAAGAGACTTGACACAATATTAATATTATTGTGGGCTGAATCACTAGGTTGAAGAGATGTAGCCAAATTCAGACAGGATTGTGTACAAAAAGCATGACCAACACTGGCACCACAATTACATGATGACATTTCATCAGGCCACTGAGTCCACAGACTTCAGAGTATTATTCTACCATTCAGGAATAAGCAAGGAGGACCTGTCCACTGGCTTCCACACCACCAATTTATCCAATCTTTAAAAGCTGAATACAAAACCGCTTTCCTCCCCAATACTTACAAGTAGCACTGTTCTATGAGCCAGAACCTGAGCAGGCGTTTCAGACAGATCTAAGAGCAGAGAAGGCAGGAAACCTTGCTTGTAGCTTCAAAAACAGGAAAGACCAAATCGGGTCATGACCAGTGAGCACGGCACAGCCCAGTGAAAAGTGGAAAGAGGACTGGTTCTCTAAATCTCTCTTTCTGGGTTTACAATTAGTCTGGGAAATTTTAGCACTGTGATGAGCTGCAAGTGCTAAAGAGAAAGAAAGCCCACATGCAGAGGCCAGGAAATAAGATAGGCCAACTGGTAGGGGCACAGGGTTTGCATACTAGAGGCCACTTGGTCCCCTGAGCACTGCCAAGAGCAACTTTTAACAAGCTGGAAGAAGCTCTAAGAATTATCAGCCATGGCTTAAGACTGCCCCTCAAAACCCCACATGTAAAATTAAGATGAACAGAAGCATAAGCCAAAAAAGCACATCTACCTCATAATACACTCAGAAAATCTTGTGATACACAGCAGTATCAAGTGAAAGCACAGGGGCCAGGGATGTGGCTAAGTGGTAGAGAGTATGCCTCACATAAAAGTCCTGGATTCAATCCCTGGTATCACTTACTCAGCTTTCCTATCATACACACACACACACACACACACACACACACACACACACACACACCCCTTTCCTAAAAGGCATTCCACAAGACTTTTTTTTTAAATGCTGATTTGAAGGGGCCAGAGCCATAGTACAGCAGGTTGGGTGCTTGCCTTGCACATAGAGAACCCGTGTTTGATCCCTGGCATACTTGGTGATCCCTGAGCACTACCCTGAGCCAGGAGTAAGCCCTGACCACTGAGTGTGCACCCAACCCCTCCCCCCAATACTGTTTTTTTTTTGGGGGGGGGCAGAATTTTACAGCAAATAATGTACTTGCCTAGCACATGGCCAAACCCAGTTCAATCAACATATGCACAGCATATAGCTGTTATCATCCCACCAGCACTACCAGGAGTGACCCCTGAGCACAAAGCGCACCAAGCTCTGAGCACAGCCAGGTGTGGCTCCCAAACAAAAATTCCTCCTTGTGAAAACCCGTCGCGATCTGATGCTTGCCTTCTCTGACCTCCTCTCAACCATTACCACTGGATAGTCTCTATCACTACAAGATAAGGCTAAGCTTCAAAAAACATAAAGCATTTAAATAGTCTTCTAAACTATTTTTCCATGCTTATTTTTTGTTTATTTTTGTTTCTGTGCCACACCCAGCGATAATCAGGAGTTTCTCCTGGCTCTGCTCTCAGGAATTGCTCCTGGCAGTGCTCAGGGGAGCACACATGCTGGGGATCAAACACTGGTTTGGTTTGCTGCATGCACGGCAAACGCCCAACCTGCTGGACTATCACTCTGGCTCTGTTCATGCTCATTTTCGAAGCTCCTACCTCTCCTGGTTCAACAGCAGAAACCCCAGCAACCCAAACTATTCAGCTTCCCAGCTCTTTTAAAAAACAATATTGGTGTGTCTGACCATGAAGATATGAAGCAGAGATTCCTCGATCTAGTGGAGTTCACATCCTAACTAATCAAGAACCAAAAGGGGCCAGGAAGAGAGTTCAGGGGTCAGAGACATATGAACTGCAAGCTCAAGGACCCATTTTCACTTCCAACACCACAGGGCCCCCTCGCAGCCCACCAACTACAACCTAGAGCCCTGCTGCCAATCTCAAGCATCATGGGCTATGGATATGGCAGACCTCAGCACCAGAAGATCAGGTATTGCAACCCCAAGCACCAAACCCCAGGTTCCCTGAGCACAACTCAGGGAAGAAGAGATAATTAGATGGTGAGAGCACAACCTTGGAGGCCTCCTGAGCATGGCCAGAATATCTGAGCAACACCCAGTATTTGGGCTCTTGCCAATGAACTGCCAGCTTACTAGGAGAGGCACTCAGACTTCTTAAGCATCGCCTGGGAGGATCCCTCACCCCCACCATAAAAGAGAAATTATAGAATAGGGTGATGTATTAAGTGGTGACTGGAGTGTTATTTCAGGGGCAGGGAGGGGGTTGGAAATGCCTCTGAGTACTGACACTGATCTGAATAAAAAGGAGCCAGGAACAGAAACCTCAACAGATTAGAGGGAATACCAAGGGCAGAAGTCTTAAGGCACTAAGACGCTTGGCTTCGTCATAGAACACAAAAACCATGCTCTGTTTTAGCATGTTACATTTAAAAGGTTAATGCATTAATGGGCGGAGCAGTAGCACACCAGGTAGGGGTTTGCCTTGCACGGGGGCTACCCGGGTTCGATTCTTCCGTCCCTCGTGGAGAGCTCAGCAAGCTACTGAGAGTATCCTGCCTGCATGGCAGAGCCTGGCAAGCTCCCCCTGGGGTATTCAATGCGCCAAAAACAGTAACAAGTCTCACAGTGGAGACATTACTGGTGCCTGCTCGAGCAAATCGATGAACAACGGGAGGACAGTGCTACAGTGCTACATTTGAAATGCCTATTTGACATCAAACAGAAATGTCACCCTCCAAAATACAGTTCAGGGGCCAGAGATAAGAGTAGAGATAGTACATTGTGCAGGGTCTATTTGCCTTGCACACAGCAAACTGGGGTTCACCTCTATATGGTACCCCTAAACCCTACAGGAGTGATCCCTGAACACAGAGCCAAGAATGAGCCCCGAGCACCACCTAACATAGTTCAAAAATACACACACACACACACACACACACACACACATATATACATGGTTCAAACATTATATTCTATGGTCTTCCCTGATAACCCTGGGCTAATCACTATCTCCTATTAACTTGCATGTGTCTATTTTTTAATCTGACAAGGTATACCAATTATCTGTTAACACTTAAGGACAGAATCTTCATTCCATTCACCCTCAGCTTTGTTAACATTAATACTTAACTTTAGTAACTAATATAGAAGGCACTAAATAAATGTCAACAACATGGAATTAAACTGTAACATTCACAAAGTCACACACAAAAATGATGCTTACAATTATTATTTTGTTTTTTTCTTTTTGGATCACACCTGGCGATGCACAGGGGTTACTCCTGGCTCTGCGCTCAGGAATTACCCCTGGCGGTGCTCAGGGGACCATATGGGATGCTGGGAATCGAACCTGGGTCAGCCACATGCAAGGCAAACACCCTACCTGCTGTGCTATCACTCCAGTCCCATGATGCTTACAATAAAACAAAAATTGACTCCAAAGCCATGACATTGCCAGATGAGAGTAAAACACACACAAAAACAATTAACTCCTTTGTCTCCTAACCTCTAAACTGAGGCAGGAAAGAGAACTAAGGCCTTGTATTCCATCAGATAAGGAAAGAAAGGGCGAGCTGAGTCTAAAGAGCCTACATTATTCATCCTCACCACAGCTAACACTGGGACAGAGCCATAAAAATTATCTGCATCAAAACTGCTGTAGCATGCCTATCAGCACACACTGGATCCTTCTATTGCTTTAACGTCTGGGAGGAGAGGAAGCTGCATATACTCACCAGCAAGCAGTGGGCAAAGTCAGGTCCTCCCACCAGGCCCGTAAAATTTCCCAGCTGCTCAGCAAGAGCTAACAGCACTTCATCTTCATCGTAAATTGTATCTGGAAATGAAAACAACCCAGTATCCATCAGCAGAGATGACCCAGAGCTGGACACTTACACGACAACGCGTGTGACCTTCGCAATGATCCATCACAAGCCTAACAGTTTCTCCCTTTCAAATAGTTTTCCTGAATGTTCTGTAGAATGAATTAAAAATGCCTAAGCTTGAGGCAGAGAGATGCGTCTCAGCAGTCAACTCATCACTTACTCGCATGTTGTATCAGCCCCAAAGTTTGTTCCCTGGTAAAACACAAACACACACTAAAAATCTCCTATCAGAGCTGGAGAGACAGAGATAGTACAGTGGGTAGGAGGCTTGCCTTACTCAGCAGACCAGGTTAGATCCCTGGCATCCCACATGGTCCCCCCCGGGGCCCCACCACGACTGATCACTACGCACAGAGTCAGGAATAAGTCCTGAGCACTGCCAGGTGTAGCCGTTAAAAAACAACAACAACAACACAAAACACAAAACCCCACACTATTTTCTATCAACTAAAAGTCAATTCTAAGCGTATCTGCCGACACTGCAACCAGCTCTCTCCCATTTTGGTTTTATTTCTTCACCAGGCACAGTATAATATTTAAATCTAAAAACAGTCAGCTGTGAAAGTCATTAGAAGATGGGAATGCTCATTTGCCTACCTTTCAATAAAGACACACATACCTGTAAGGAATGGCAGCAGTTCCGTTCTAGTCCTTTCTACTCCAAGTGCTAAAGCAATTGTTGATAGCTTCTTAATACTGTTGAGACGGAGCTTAAAAAAAAAAAAAAGAAAAAGGAAGCAAAGAAACAGTTGGGATTTTGATGGGAAAAATGTAAGTTCTGGATGACTGTGTGCAATGTAAGGATATAACCTTAAAAACTTGGTGAGCAAACACAAGAACAGACAAACCAGGGGCGACTGGCAAGAGAAGCGAGGTTACCAGCGAAGGCAGTGGGAAAGGGGGTTTTCTCAGTGGGAAATGAGAAATAACTACATTTTACGCCAGTCCCGTTCCAAAGAAGAAACAGTTGGGTACACAGCCCCCAAACCAAAAGTTGCAAACAAGCGAGATCGTTGCCTACATAGGGGCGAGGCGCAGGAAAAATGCCTTCTATTTAAATCTCTCCCAATAATTAACGATTTAATACGGGGTTCCACTCGCCAAAGTTCTTTTTCAGGTGAAACCTCCCAAGAGCCCATTCAAAAAAAAAAAATGAATGAATGAATGAATGAATGAAACTGCGATGACAAAAATCTAGGAAGAGCGAGGAATGGGGGGGGTGTGCTTGGGGGTGGGGGGACGGCGCAGCAGGTGGAACTCTCGCCTTTTCGAGGACAAGTAGTTCCGCCGGCGCGGACACCGCCGCCGCCTCTGGGGTCGCCGGGCCTCTCCCCACCCAACCCGCAGGGCCGGTTCGGCGCGGGAGGAAGGAGCCCGGTTCCGCCCGCAGCTCGGCCTGGGGCCGCCCGGCCGCCCGCGGCTTGCACGCGGCGCGCCCACCGCCCGCTCCGGGACGAGGCCGCGGCGGGAAGTCGCTGCGCCCACAACCGCCCGCGGACGCGGGGGCCCCCCGCGGCGCCGCCGCCTCAGGGCGCGGGGGGGCGGAGGCCGGGGAGGCCGGGGAGGCCCGGGAGGGTGACGGCGGGGCGCCCGCACGCCCCCCGCGGCCGGTCCCCGGCCTCCCGGCAGCTTTCCGCTCCCCCCCCGCGGCGCCCCGTCGGCCTCCGGGGCCTCCCCCGCGGCCCGGGCGGCCTTTCCCACCCCCCCACCCGGCCCCCGCCTTCCCCACCACGCGCCCGGCCGCGCCCACCTCCGCGCCCCGACTCGACTTCAGTACCTGTACGTCCTCGTTGCGGAGCTCGTCGATTAAAACCGCGATCGGGTAGAGCGAATCATCTCCATCTCCACCCGCTGCCCCCGGGCCGCCGCCGGGCCCCGCCGCGCCCGCCATGTTCTTCCTCCTCCTGCTCGTCGCGGCCGCCGGCCCCGCGTCCAGGCCCCGCCCCGCGCCCGGGCCCCGCCCCGCGCCCGGGCCCCGCCCCGCGCCCAGGCCCCGCCCCACACTTAGGCTTCGCCTCGTGCCCGGGCCCCGCCCCGCGTTCGGGCCCCGCCCCGCGCCTAGGCCCCGCCCCGCTCTTAGTCTCTGCCCAGCCTCCAGGCTCCGCCCTGCGTTCAGGCCCCGCCCAGCGAGTGAGGAGGCGGAGTCAGGGCCGGTGCTCCGGTTCGTTGGACCCGGAGAGACCGAGTTTCTGCTACGCTGGTGGAGACACCCGCCCAGCCCTCGTTGTAGAGGCTGTAGGTGTAAACTCCAGAAGAAAAGCGGACTTAGAAAGAGAATTGAGCTCCCATGTCCTTTCCCCAGACGGAAGAAACAGGTGCAGTGGCTCATCCGGCTCGTGCGGCTGGGAAGGATGATCCGATCTGTGTCCTACTCGGACTCGGGTGGAACCTAGACGAAGCCCAGCTCGGAGCCAGGAGGAAACTAGGACTTGGCGCCTCCCCTGACCTGGTCCTGACCCCGAGCCGCTGGGGCTCCAGGTCCTCATTTCTTTAATAGCCTCACTCAAGCCCCCAGCGAAGCCCTCCACCTACCCCTTCCTTGGGCCCGAACTGTGTCTGGCTCCTGCTCTCTAAGACAAATAACGCGGGCGGTTGGAGAAAATGAACAGTGCTGTCCAAACTCCCCAGTCAATATTTTTTCCGCTTCCTCCATGCAAGCTGTTGAAAACATGCTGTTCTCTTGTTTTTGTGTTTCTTTTCAGTTTGGTACTGGAACGGCGCCTTCTGTTGTATTTTCTTCCTCCCATTTTTCAGTCTTTAACATTCTGGTAAGTACAACAATCAAGTAAAACCGGGACAAGTGGGGCAAGATTGAAGTCTTCCAAATTAGGTGAAGGCGGTTCAAGAAAGGTTAGACTTGACCCCCCCCCCCATGCCCCCAACGTTTCCCCCAAGCACCAAGAGCCCTCCATGGCAGCAGTGGGAGAGGGAGAAGGCATGAGAGTTCTTACAAAACTTGCTTCTCACTTGTGATTTCATTGTTAAGGCAGTACAGAATGTCCTGTCTTTTTGTCTTGGACCACAGGCACTTGAGAGTGATAACTCCAGGGGCTGGAGCAATAGCACAGCGGGTAGGGCGTTTGCCTTGCACGTGGCAGACCCGGGTTCGATTCCCAACATCCCATAAGGTCCCCTCCGAGCAACACCAGGAGTGATTCCTGAGTGCAAAGCCAGGAGTAACCCTTGAGTATCACCGGGTGCGACCCAAAAAAAAAAGCAAAAAAAAAAAGTGATAACTCTGTGCGGTTATCTCAAGCTTTGAAATGCTAATTCTATGTGAAAAATGATCACTAAATGCCATTTAGAAAACTGCACTCTTCCTCCCCAAAACTTGTGGCTTCTGAAAGGAAGGAAGCTCTCGTAGATGGGTTGACAGTTGTGAAACTTTGGGGTCCAGTGAATCTGAAGGGTACTTCTCAAATCAGATCTGTGGATATATTCTATATTCTTTCACTGTTTTCATTTTGGCTATACATATTTTTCCAAAACTTTTGTTTTGTGGAGCAGGGTATTGAACCCAGGTCTCCTGCATGCAAAGTATGGGCTTTACCACAAAGCCACATCCTGGCCCTTGATAGCACTTTTTATTTCAAAGTACATTCTGGATTATTTGGGCGACCTCTTTGTCACCCAGTACTGCCAACTGTGAGTTCAGATATTTGCATGTGTGTTTCAATGCTGTCTTTAATTGTTGTGGGAGAATGAGAAAAAAAGTATACTGAAAATCAGAATAAGACTTTCATACACAAAATGGAAGGCAAAGGACATCCTGAGACTGCACTATCAGAAAAGACATGAGAAAATTGCAACAGCATATTTTAGACTGGGGCGCAGGCATACTGATCTCAAAGAAAACTTAGCTTGCCTGGGCCATAGTCCCAGTACAAGGGATGATTTTGTTAAAAAAAAATTGTCATGTTAACTTATTATACTATTAATGAATATTATTAATTTTGCAATTTGATGTACAGTTAATGTATAGTTGGGGGTTCTTTATATAAGAATGGTAAAGATAGGCTGGAATGATAGTAAAGCAAGTAGGGCCTTGCATGTGCCCCCATATCCTGAGCACAGAGCCAGGAGTAAGCCTTGACAACTGCTGGGTGTGACCCAAAAACAACCCAAAAAGAATGAATAAAAGGATAACATATCTCTACTTTATAAATTCAAGTAACATTGTTATTAAACATTAATTTAAATTGAGTTCAGATTTGTTTTTCTTTAGAAAGCTCGAGCAAATCGATGAACAACGGGAGGACAATGACAGTGACAGTGACAGAAAAGAATGAAAGATTAAAGTTTGAGAAATAGAAGCCTGGGCTTTTTGATCTAGTGCTTTTCCAGTCAGTAGATCAGAGGGCTTTCCTATTGGCCTGGGGAAGAAAAATATATTGCAGTCAACTTTGTGTGAAAAATCTGCAGAACCAATCAATGAAACAAGAGCAGAGAGAAACGCATTAAATCTGTTCCACGAACACTATTATCTAGATAGTAGGTCCAGCTTAGACAAGCCATAATATGCTAACAAAAATTCCCACCACACTGATGCTAAGCCATCCGTTTAAAACTCAAACATGCGTTGCTTACCCAAGCACAATGACGTGGGCACCCAAGGAATAGCTATGATTAAATATGAAATCACAGGCTGAGAAAATAGGTCCCAGAAAATTGCCTGGTTTGAGAGTCATCCATTCTGTTGAATTCCTACCTCTGTCTCTGACTCATTGTGACCCTCCACCTCCTCACCCTCAATAAAATGCAGCTCTCCGCCTCAGGAACCCTCCCTAGTTGCTGGGATGAAGTGAGAACAAGACTAGCAATGAACAAAGAGATGCTAATAAAGCCCTCAGTAGAGAATGTGATTGAACAGACTGCAGCAGAAGGAGACTATTTCAAAAATTGGGCCAACTGTCCACAGATGACAGAATAAAGAAGTGATGGAATACTTCACTTTGCAACAGGCAAATTGATACTGGAGACTGAGAACAGCCAGCAAGAGACGAGTGACTTTCTTAGCACCAAAGCACTACTTAGCTGTTGAAAACAATGAAGTCAGGCTGTTGAAAACAACGTAGATGGATATTAACGTGATCACACTTAGCAAAATAAATCAGAGAGCAAAAGGTGTCAGAGGGCTTTCTTTTTATCTGTAGAATAAAAGTAGCACTGTCTGTAGCACTGTCCTCCCGTTGTTCATCGATTTGCTCGAGCAAGCACCAGTAACGCTCCATTGTGAGTGAGACTTGTTGTTACTGTGTTTGGCATATCAAATACGTCACGGGTAGCTTGCCAGGCTTTGCCTTGCGGGCGGAATACTCTCGGTAGCTTGCTAGGCTCTCTGAGAGGGATGGAGGAATCGAACCTGGGTTGGCCGCATGCAAGGCAAACGCCCTACCAGCTGTGCTATCGCTCCAGCCCAGAATAAAAGTACCCGAAGAAAATTACAAACTAAAAACAGCAGAAGCCTTTCTTAGAATCTGTGTCAAGACCTGATGGCTGCCAGAAGGAGGGGGGAGGAAAAGGATAGAAGGGAATAATCAGATCATGGGAACAGCACTGGGACCAGATGGGTGCTGGGTGGCTATACTATAAAGGTATGAAACTGGACTCAGAGGGCTGGAACGATACTACAGCGGGTAGTGCGTTTGCCTGTCACTTGGCCAACCCAGATTTGATTTCCAGCATCCCATGTGGTCCCCCGAGCACTGCCAGAGTAATTCCTGAGTGCAAAGCCAGGAGTAACCCCTGTGCATTGCCAAGTATGACTCCCCCCAAAGAAAAGGAAGGAAGGAAGGAAGGAAGGAAGGAAGGAAGGAAGGAAGAAAGATGGAGTCAGAGATCTTTCACTGTCACACTGTCCTCCCATTGTTCATTGATTTGCTCGAGCTAGCCCAGTAACGTCTCCATTTTGAGACTTGTTGTTACTGTGTTTGGCATATCGAATAAGTCAAATGAAATGGGTCAAATGAAAGCTGAAATGAAACCTAAGACAAGTTTTTGGGGAATGTGATTTGATTTACTGACAATTTGTTCAGAATCACCTAAAATGCTTCTTTAAAATGCCCTGATCCCCACTCCAGACCTGCTAATGAGGAATTCTTCAGATGGTGCAGGACGTTTTGCCATGTACCCCTGATGATTGTAATATACAATAACAGTAGGAATGAATGAATTTTAAAGGAGGATGACTCAAAGGGTTGGAACAGTTACTGGAGGGCAGGGGGAGGGGGCGTGTTTGGGGCCATACCCAGCATTGCTCTCCTGACAGGGTCACTCCTGGCAGGGCTCTGGAGACCATATGTGGTGCCAGATAACAAACCGGGTCAGCAAGGCAAGCACCCTACCTGTTGAACTATCTCTCCAGCCGTGGAACAAATGCTTTGCATACAGGAGCTCCAGATTCAATCCTCGGCACACATCATGGTCCTTTGAGCACCATCAGGAGCAACCCCCAAGCATTGCTGGGTATCACCCCAAAAACCAAAACCAGGCTTCATCTGGAAGAAAATAATTCCCATGTCCACAAACAAGCATCTGTTTGGAGGAAATCGACAATGAACCTTAGGAGGGCTTCTCTGTCCGGCAAAAGCAGATGACAGTGACAACTGCTTAACAATCAGCAATTCTGTCGCTGCTAATCTTTTGGTCAGATTAAAATGGTCTCTCTTTTCCTGGATTCCTGGAAGTCAGCGCAACACTATAAATACAGGACTCCAGGACTGTGGCACTAAACTGTTTCCACATCCTACTCTCTACGGCTCCCTCTGATCTCCTCTCTGTCCCACACACACCACAAGACTCCAATGACCAGGAAAGCCCAGAGGCAATAGGCAAATTGACACCGGAGACTGGGAACAACCAGCAGAGACAGAGTGACTGTCTTAGCACCAAAACACTACATTCCGACTCCCACATCAAGTTTGCTCATCCAGAGAATCAAGGGGAGACAGGACAAGACTTGCCCAAACCAAGCACAAGAATACGGAGACCATGCACAGACAGACGGACTAACAGCCTTGAGCTCTGGACTGGTAGTAGTTCTACATTCCTGCAGAAAATGTTCCCTCCTGAAAATGCCTCAGAGGCCTTGGTGTGGTCTCGGGCCTCAGGTCTCAGCTTGCATCCTCCTCAGAGTTCACAGAGCTTCACAAACAGGTGTTCTTTCAAGCGCTGATTGGCGCCATAGCTGTTCCACACTCACCCTGGACAGTGGAGTATGGGAAAGAGACCAGTGAGTAGAAGTTTCTCTCAGGGCAAGCCCAGAAATGTCAGCCCATTGATGAGGTCAACGAGAAAGTGGTGGGCGGCCCATCGTGAACAGAACTCCTGAGGCACATGAAAGCTTTCCTCTTCCTTCCTTCAGCAGTGTTCAGGGCTGACTCTTGGCTCTGCACTCAGGGATCTCTTCTAGTGAGGTTCTGGGGACCATATGGGGTGCAAGATTGAATCCAGGTTGGCCTACATGCAAAGCAAGCACCCTACCCACTGTACTATCTCTCCGGCCCCATTTCGCCACTTCTTCACTGTGTTCACTGAAGAAGTTGACTAGTGAACTGGTGGTCTCCAGGCCTGCATTCATTCACTGCCGGTAGTAAACCTCAACACAGCATTGATGACATCTTGAACTGATATGAACACAGTCTTTGGTGAGATTCAAAGAGTTATCCCCTCAACTTCACCTGAATACTTTTACTTTCTTTCTTTTCTCTGTACTGAAGAATTAAATTGAATCCTAGGGGCCAGAGTGATAGTGGGTATGGTATTTGCC